GTAACCGTTTGAGAGCAACGTTTTAACCATGTGTTCCTTCTCATCTGCTAGCGTCTCCAGGCTGCGGATTTTGGAGGCTCGGTGATACATGCAGCGGACTAAGTTACATTTATACATCCGAGGCACAAAACTCAGAAAGTGCGTGTATTGTCCAACCCAAGAATTCTTTCGGAAAACGCTTCTCTCAAGCGAAGTTGTACGTCCAGGAATGGCAGCTTTCCTTTATTTCTGATTTCTTTGGTGAAATTCAGTGATGGGTGTGCACCGTTGAGTTTATCGAGTAAACCAACTAAATCAGCGCTCGAATCGCAGAGAACAGACGTGTCATCCGTATAGCAGCAGTAGAAATTTAGTGAAGCAATAACAGGTTGGATAGGACCGCGTTCAAGTTTTGTGAGGAAGATGTCGGCAAGAAGAGGTCCTAGGGGAGAACCCACAGCTACTCCGTCAGTCTGCCGATAATAAATTCCATCAAACAGTCACTGTCTGTTAAAGGTGCATGGTAGGATTATTTCCTTTTGTTTCGGCATTGGAATACCAACATTTATGTTTTTCGGTTATGTATTAGTAAAGAAAGTTGACGATCTATAGCAACGGGACGTTGGTGAAAAGTGATTCCCCACCAGTTGAGAGCATCACTTTACCGTTTACCTTCAAGTCGGTAACTTTTTCAACAAGGTCAAATGTGTTAGAGTGTGTATGGATAATGCATTACATACGAGTTCCAGTACTTCCACATTCTACAACAGAGTGGAAAGCGGGAGCCGATGTATCCACTATCGTACTTGAAGGGACATGCGGCTAGTGTAGTTTAGGTATGCCATAAGGCCGGGGTGGCTTAGAGTCAACAGGAGTTAATCGATCAAATAAAGGGTCAGGTAGCACATGCGGCTGTTTTCCTTCCTTCAAGACTCTCGTAAGTTTTGTTTAGTCTTTTGCGGTCCTGTCCTTCTGGTCTATATCACGCATGAACCTGCTTGAGTTTGGAAAAATAACGTGTAGATTCGCGACCTACTCGGATCTGTCCATTTACACCAATCCCGATCCTTTATCTGGTCTAGAAAGGATGTGATGAGGATTCGATCGTAATTCTTTTAGTTGCCTCTCGGTGTCTGGCGGTCAGGATGTTGTACGACCAGTTCTCCTAACGTAGATCCTGTTGATAGAGATGTACCAATGTGGTCTTAAAAGAGTCTTGAGCAAGGGAAGTCGTGGGTCATACTTCAGCCAGTTGGTGCATTAGGTTTAGAAACTGAGTTTCTAGATGGATTTGACCGCGTCGTTTGAGTGAAGCAAGATTTCGGTCCGAGTGCTAAAGCTTCAAGCAGCTGCTGTTTCAATGATATACTAGATAGGTTGTATACATATCTTTCCCGATTCATTGGAAATTTTGATTCTGTTTGAGTCCGATGTAAGCTTCTTAGAAGCTTCAAGTGTCTTCCTTTTTCAAGTTTTGGGCAGATTTATTGTTATTATTTGTTATTGTTTATTGTTATTATTGTTGGACCAACCAACGAATATCGTTGAACGGTACAAAGCTCTATGACACTTGCTTGGTAATGTGCACAAAGTCGCTTCAGCTCTGGGAATCGGGACCGAACAGCTTCCATCACATTGTAAGCATGTCGCTTAAGGGACTTTGCAGTCGCACATGACCCCGCCTGAGAAATTTTCAGTAGGATCAGGGGTTTTGATCGCGCAGCACGCATCTTTGTTTAAATCTGATTTCCGTCTGTGCTTCTACAAGCCTGGCGTTAAACTTTAAACCTCTGTTGTGGTTTGCAAACGGTGTGTGTTGTTTGCTCCATTATTCGTTTTCTTCGTTTTGCCCCCTGGAGGCTCATAATACCCGAAAGTAAGGATTCATGTTATGCGTTGAATGACACAGAAATCGTTCTTGTCCCCTCATGAACCCACTGTTCGGTATCTGCTTTTACTCGGCTTGTTCGCAACCAGTTTTATCAAATGATTCCTACCTTGATCCGCTAAACATTCATGGTATTAGGGAGTACTTAATATCGTGGTTAGTAGTGTCGCTAAACCACATTTACTCTAGAGTTTTGTGTGCCCTCACCGAAGAACTGACCACTGGATATACTAGTTGTTCTTAATACGCTAACATGGAGGAATGAGATGACTCGTTCAGAGAATAAAAACGATAGAGCCCTCTAACACATCCAGGTAACAAAAGCTGATTTGATATTCGGTGCAAAACGGGACCTTTATCCGTTTAAGTAAACAGAGCGGGTACTGTTGCTAACTTCGGTGGTCGTGCTATTATCGACGACTGCAGAACAGTCTAGTTTAACTACGTAACTGATGCACCAGCGCCTGATGACAAGTTTAGATCCTTGCTGATACCCCTGTGAATCGGTTGTAAGTTTATGGCGTGACCCTCAAATTGGCCACCTTTTCTCATTGGAGATCCTTTTAACTCTAGCTACTGCGGATTTCTCCAACTACTAAAGCAATTTTGCTATTTTGTTTATCTGGACTACTACTTCACAATGACGTTTTCCTATTCCGCTAACATTTTGAAATCTCCCCGTGATACTGCTCCCTGTATGGTGTCAGCGTGTCACTGTAACAAGTAAACAGGTAAGTTGTCGTCCAGCCTAGCCTATATTGCGATTGTCGTTTCCTCTTTACTTTGGTTGTAACGCTACTGTTGTAAACGCTTCTTCTTTAGCTCTGCCCTCTGCCACTCCCAACAGCGTCAAGGGAAGAGCTCACACGACTCTGAACACAAATGTTCTGTTTACATGTTTGATGAAAACACAACTGTGTTTTTATAGCTCATCGGCCTACTAGATCGATCGCTTGATCGACCGCAATGAGGCGGACGCTTCCCATATTTAGCTCCGCTAACATCTCCATTACCTCCCCCTTCAAATTATTTGTTACTTTTTACCTTGAGGTTCACTTGTAGGCATTGCAGTTTCCTTCGTCTTCGACTTGGCCTGCATGGAAGGTCGTGTGGCGCCCCAGCGACTGGCTGAGTTCCGCTTTGGGGATCAACCTGTAGCCATGGTGGTCTTCTCCGCTTTCGGGTCGGCCTGCATTGTGTGTTATCTGCTGGTTGCATATTATGTCGTGATCTACCGAACCGCTCAGCTTCGTCTTCCAAACAAAACATGTCTAGCAGAATGTCCCATGGTACGGATAGCTGTTCTGGGGGACTTTGAGGTTTGCCGTGACTCGGCCTGAGCTGATTGGTGTGCCTGATCCATTTCTCCTTACCTACCATTACTTCGTAGATGACCCAACTGTTTCTGTGGATCACTCTTCCTGGCGACCACCTCCTCGGTTCTCGGAAGTCTCATGTGTACACCATGTTCCCAATTTTGCATTGACGCACTCTGTTCACTTTTCTCCCGCCTGACAACTGCAATGCTTGTCTTTCCTGCTTGGCACAAGACGCTTTGCTCTGGATACTTCTTCATTGAATGAGTTGAACTTCAGGGCAGCGCTGGTGATTCCGCAACATTCTCGACCAGGTTGGAATATTGCTTCGTAGCGTTTATTCATCTGCGTAATCTGACTGCCATTGATTTCTACCGTCGCATCTGACTTAGTAGTGACAGTGTGGCGTAATTGTTGCTCTTCGCTGGATTCTCAATTTGCAATCACATTGGTACCAGGATTCAAACTGAACAGCCTCTAGCATTCTGAAACAATTTCTTGAGATGGCAGCTTCAGTTCCGGTTTCCATTCTACTTGTGTGCTTAAGTTGTGTGATACCAGTTCCAGTAACTGCCTCAGTGGCATTCCGAACTGCGACTGCTGCTGCTGCAAAATTGCTTGCAATTGTTCAAATCTGACTGACATCTTTGTGTTCTTCTGACTCCTGTCGCCACTGCTGTAAACGCTACTGCTGTAAACGCTTCTTTACCTCTGCCCATTGCCACTCCCAGCGGTGTCAAGGGAAGAGCTCATCCAGCTTTGCAAAAAAAACGTTCTATTTACAAGTATGAGGAAAGTACAAGTAGCTATGATGTTTTAAAAACGCACTGGTCTACTAGATTGATCGCATGATCCACCGCACTGAGGCGGATGTTTCCCATATTCAGCTCCGCTTACGTCTCTAGTAACTTTCTCATTTCGTCCTCAGTATTGTTAAAGCCCCCATCTGGCACGCTTAGTTTTACGCCGTCTATCTACATCGCCTCGAGCTCGGTTCTCTCTTGGCAGCTGTGACAGTACTGCCAAGGTAGCCACGAGAAATCACACAATCACAACGTTCATCCAGCTCAGACACTTACTAGGTGCTTGATCAGCCGCCAACGAGGTATTTTCTGCCTTTCAACCCATCGGTCTCCTACGGCCTACGTACGCCCCGGACAAGGAAGCCCTCGGAACCCTCGACCGGACGCACATTGCACTCCCCATCAGCGTACTATTCAATATACTCAGAGTACTCAACACTTTTAAACCAATTATGCGAAAAAATCCTTGTAGATTGATAAAACATCGTGCTGGCTGGCAACTAAGCCTTAGACGTAGCTCAGTTGACAAGACACAAATTCCACTGATCTTGTCCAGCAATATTCCATCACCCATTGGAAAGATGACAGATCTTACCACTTTTAAATGGCAAACTGATTATTCAAATGCAGCCATTTTGCTGTTTCAAGGAAGCTGATTACATGCCGATGTAGAATACAATGTTATTCAACTTGCTGGTTCCATCCCCTCAAATCCGACCTTCCCGAAATGCCTCAAAATCGTGGAGGGGGTGTCATCACCTACGACCATCAACCCTGGTGTAACTCGTCCTCTATATTTTTTACCCACTCAAATGTTGCAGTCAACTGGCATTTGCTTGAATGTAAATCAAGGTTCTTAATTGGTTTTAGTTTGTTGTTATTGGGAATGTATACTGATCCGCCACCACACGTGTATGAGAGTTAAAACCTTGCAGATGATCTATCCTCTGCGTTACTACCTAAACTTGACTGCTCTGTCTGTGTCATCGCCGGGGACTTCAATAAAATTGATACCTCCTTCATCCAGGCACTTGATTTGACTAACATAGTGGCCTTTCCGACCAGACTCGAAGCGCAACTAGATTTTGTCTTCACAAATCATGCTTGTCTGTTTTCTTCACAGAAACGTGACCCGCTCTGTAATTCCGTTCATTGTATCATAAAAAGGTGCCCCATCATTTATGGTAAGACTCACTCCGGTTCATTGGTTAATAAGCCCTTCAAAACTATAAAGCGACGAGATTGTTCAGTCTCAAATATTGCTTTTCTCCAAGAAATACTGACTTTTACTGATTTTACAGTTTTCCACAATGAAGATCTACCAGTTCATTGTGGGCATTCCACTGATTATTTTAACTTTTGCTTCGATCTTTGCTGCCCGGTCGAAATGATATACTTACGAGCCGATAGATTCTCCTCACCATCACTCAAACAACTTAGAAGGAAAAAGGAACAAGTGTACAGATGCAAAATGTCTGCGTGTGTTAAACAACTCACACTAACAGTCAAAACTGAGATTTCACGACTAGGTAATTTACACATCGAGGCAGTTTTGTGCAACTACAACTGCCCAGACCTATGGGGACTTTTAATGCAGCTATGCGGTAGAAGCTCCAATAAGCAGATTGGATCTGTGAACCTAGAGAAACGCAATGCTGAGTTCTGTTCATCTTCACAGACAGCATCCACCAGCCCTTCATTCTCTCTGCCTTTGTTCTCTGGCTGTGGTCTAAAAATTACATTCCAATAGCTTGAGGTCAAGCATATACTCAGGAATCTGAACTTACAAAGGCTAGTGGACTCGTTACTCTTTTACCAGCTGTCTTGAAAGAGTGTGCTAATTCCCTCACCATGCCCTTGACGGATCTTATTAATCGGTGCATACACAATGGAATTATTCCGATATTTGGAGGCCTGTCAGGATAATGCTCGTGCCAAAAAAGGGATTCACACAATTCCATCCTCTCGCCTGTACATCCATGATGATTATGATAGTCTTCGAGCAGCTACTGGTACCTTGGATTTCAACAAGCACGGCAGCTGTGGACGTAACTCACTTTGAAACACTGAGTTCCCTTCAAATACTTCATTAACATAGTAAGAAGAAATAGGTTGCGAAACGTCAACATTTCGATTACTCTCGTCATTGGTTCATTGGTTGGTAGAGAGCACCAGGAAGTTCGTTTGTCAGCTCCGTCACTTCCCGATCTTTACGGTTGCTGGGATGATTGCGGAACAAGGTTCCGCAGAAGACCGTTGTGGTTGTATTGTGGGCAGCAAAATCCCTGCGCACTTCGAGAGTGGGAATCCAACATGCATTTGAAACATTCCGCTATCTCCGCATCGAAGACAGCCTCCGGCAAGCTGTTCCAGTCATTCACTACCCGGGTGGATAGGAACAAATCGGATCGCACACGCAGTCGCTGCGGGTTAAAAGTTTCCACCGGTGACCTTGAGTTGCACACTTTGTGTTGAGAGGAGAGAACGATCTCAGGTCACTCCCCAGCTCACTTATTAGAATACACCGAGTGAATATCATATCTCCGCGGCGACGACGATAATCCAAAGGGAACAGGTTCAACCGTTGACACCACAACTCTGGAACGGATTTGGATCCACGCAGTTGAACCTTCTCGATTATGTCACGTTCGGACTTGGTGAAAGGATACGCAGCACGCAATCCGTACTCGAGAATTGGGCGCATATGTGAAGCAAACCGTAGTCTGAAGAGTGTAAGGGTCAGGCGTGAGAAGCTCTCCGTGTAGCATGAAGTAATCTGTAGGTGGATGTGACCCTCTTCAGGGTCGTCAGCCGCTACGTAATGCAGGCAGAAGAAAATACGCTTTAAATACGGTCCACACTTGGTAACATAGATAAACAAATAAAATTGATGTGATTGACGTAATCAGGTCTTAGGCAATCTAATCGATTGCCTCAATTGTTTCTGGGCACAGAGCGCAGGACAACTCAACTTTAGCATTAGCGCCTCGCCGACTGCCAACAACGTCAGGTTCCTGTTGCGCACTAGCACCGTGAATGAATCGATTGGGCTCCCTTGGTGACGAGTGGTCAGTAGATGTTTGGTGATAGACGAGGCAGGGTTCCGGTTCATTCTTTGGTCCACTCCGCCTTGGTGAGACAACAACGGCCTTAGTCCCAAAGGGAAATGTTCCGGCACTCTTTGAGCCACCCGGCGACCAGTCTTGCCGATGTGTCACCGCAAGTTTCTTATTGATAAGGCGTTGGACACAAATATTTTGGTGGAGAAACAAATTGCAAGGCATCTACAAATGGTTTTGCTTCATGATTACATCTCCAAGTCATAATATCGGCAGTTACAACCGACAGGGCCAGAAACACCAAGGAAAAGGGATGCGTCGAAGCTGCACAAGGCGGGAATTCTACTACGCCAAATAATATGCATGCATAACTCACCTTCCCACAAAGTAGCTCGGTGGTTGGCAAAGCTCTTAGAACCTGTGCGTAAGCACCTGAGGACGCACTGTTTGAAAGAGTTTGAATTGGCGAATATACTGGAACAAACAACGCTCGAGTGGCAGCTCATTTATTCCATAGACGTGGGATCGCTGTTCACGAATGTGCCCCTACGTGAAACGGTCGACGACCTATGCCTATTTATTTTGAGTCGGAACACATTGTGGGCCTTTCTCTGGAGTACCTGAGAGAATTGATATTGTTGTGCACTGAGAATGTGCGATTCGAGTTTGAAGGGAGGCTTACAAACAGATCGACGGTGTCGCTTTGGGTAGTCCTTTGGGACCAGTTCTGACAGACATGTTCTTGGGTATGATTAAAAGGAGTTGTTGCCTGCATAGGTGAAACATAGCTTTACAAGCGTATGTAGACGATATCAGCGTCTTCATAAATGGTAAACGTTTCGACTGTCTTTCTGCCCTCCTGAACGTAATTCACCCTAACCTTTGGGTATCACAGGAGTAGGAAAAAGAGGACAGACTGCTGTTTCTGTACCTACTCATCAGGAGAAGGAGCGATGACACACTGCAGCGCACTGTATACAGAAAAGCGTCCTGGGGGGGGGGACAATACCTACATTTTTCCAGCTTCACCCCAGTTGCATACAAGCGCGGTCTCGTAAAATCTCTTCTATAGGGCCAGGTGAATTTGCAGTCCGGAATTGCTCAAGGCTAAAGAAGAGTTTTTATACCGGGCTCTGCTATCCAATGGTTATCCGGCGAAATTCACAGATCCGTAGCAGACCCGAAGTAGAAGCTACCAGTACAAACAGCGGAGAAGAAGGATGTTTATGTATTCTTAACGTTCAAGGGGACTCATGTGGCAAATAATGTTGGTCAAAAGCTCAGGTTCCCTCTACGACGCACATACTCTACCGTCAAACTACCACTTATCCACACTACACGAATGATTCCACTTCACAGCCGTCCGAGTACCTCGCCAATCAATTCGGTCTCTAACGTCATCTACCTGTTCACTTGCAGTTTCGGTGACATTGACATCGGCAAGACTGGTCGCCGGGTGGTTCAAAGGGTGGTGGAACATTTCCCATTGGGACTAAGGCCGTTGTTGTCTCACCAAGGCGGAGTGGACCAAAGAATGAACCGGTACCCTGCCTCGTCTATCACCAAACATCTACTGATCACTCGTCACCAAGGGAACCCAATCAATTCATTCAAGGTGCTAGTACGCAACAGGAACCTGACGTTGTTGGCAGTCGGCGAGGCGCTAATGCTAAAGTTGAGTTGTCCTGCGCTCTGTGCCCAGAAACAATTGAGGCAATCGATTAGATTGCCTAAGACCTGATTACGTCAATCACATCAATTTTATTTGTTTATCTATGTTACCAAGTGTGGACCGTATTTAATGCGCATTTTCTTTTGCCTGTATTACGTAGCAACTGACGCGAGCAATCGAAATGATAACATTTCGCAACCTGTATCTTAGTTTGCATACAGTCCCCGACGCTCCACGTTGGATGCCGTAGCATTGCTTGTTCACGCTATAGCATCTTCGTTGGATGCGAAATGCAGGAATGTGCGGCTCGTCTTCCTTCATTACGTCAAGGTTTTGGCAGTGTCGACTTATCAAGCTTGCTTAAGCAGCTGTTTGCGGATGGTGTTCAATCAGCAATGTGCAAGCTGATGTGCAACTACGTCGTAAACGAATCTTATTGTATCCAGCTAAACGGAAAAATGTCCACCACCCTTAGTGATGACTGGGGCGTGCTACAGGGAGCAATCATCTTCCCTCTTCTTGTCTCTATAGATCGAAATGTTTCTAATTCCCTTAAGTTTGTTGGATGTAAGTACGCTGACGAAGTAATCTTAAGTAGCATTTCTCCAACTACTGAATCATCAACTGAATCAGCTTCAATCGATCTGGATGAGCTACAGCAGTGGTTGTCGTCCTGATACCTTTCTCTCGAGGCTTTCAAATGCCGCCATGAAACTTTCTCTTTTCTCCGCACTGACAAACGTCTGACTGTGGCAAACAGTTCTCCCTCTTCCATGGTCGCAAACGACCACAATATACTCAGTTTGTTCACTGTTAAGTACCTTGGTGTACATTTATCTCACAATCTACCTTGGTCAACAAACGTTGACGAAACGTTCCGTAAGGTGCGTAAATTATTATTCTGTGCTCTTATACGCAAAATGCTATTAGTGCCGAGCTCTCTAATTTACAAATTTGTGATTACCTGTATCCTTCCCCATGGTTTATATTGCTCATTTCTTATTTTTCCTGGTCTTTTACAAAAAACTTCACATTGGTTATGCGTTCTTTTAAGCCCATTTGCAAGTTTAGTGGATTGTCCAGAGTCTCTAGTTGACTTCATCATTACTAAGCACTTTAGTGTATGTGAAAATTTTTCAGTAAATGTTTTGACTGACCTTTTACACCCCTACACGCTAAATTATCTAAAGCCCTCTCCAGCTCGCCTACAAGTTCTAAATTTAGGGTTTCGTTTTCTCGCACAAGTTATCACAACTCTATCTTATCGTATTTATCCCGTTTTCTTGTCGACTCCAGGAAACTTTTCAGCACCAAGAGCAAACGTTTAATTGAGTAATGTGCATGAGTGTTTTCCACTTTTTACGCTTTTATTACAATTCCATGCTTAGGTTATGCCTCACAGTATCCGCAGTGCTAGTGTAAAATGCTGAAAATGTTCCCAGTCGGTTGCATAAAGCCTGTTTTGACTTGTCTTGACATCTAATGGATGTGTGGAATCCGTGTAGACGCAACTGCGCTAGGACTGCTAATAATGATGATCTGGGCGCTGACAAAATATCCGCTAAATATCTGTTAACATAGTTTCAGTATCGATTTACATAACACATGGTGTGCAATTATATGGGATACAGCGAATTCTCCTAAACTGAAAGTGCGCCCACGTCCTCATCACCGGTGGTTTCAAGGTACATGTTTTAGAAACCCTTATCGAGCTCGGAGAGTAATTCAAGACCAGGTTGGCAATCGCGCACTGCTTGTGTTCTCCTTTAAAATCACTTCATTTTGCCCGATCGGTTCAGAACAAATAACCGGTCATTTGTTTCGGATCTTGTGTAAACCAGCAAGGAACATAGGATTACAGTATTTACTTTAGATCGTCATTTCGGTCAGCGTGCTCATGCAGTTATGTCGCAGCTCCAACGGTTGTGCATAGTGTCCAGATGAGAACCCGAGATACTGCGTACCACTACACGCTACAAACCTTGAGCACTGGTTGTTAATGACACGAACTGATGATTCCACACAGAAAACATCCCGGAAGTCGCCTGGCTGAAATTGGTCAAAATATTCAATGGCTTATGAATATATCTCAGAGACTAGCGTTTTGAAATGGGGGAACAACTTATTGCCTGAGGAGCAGAAAGCAAAATGTATTTCTAATGGCAACCGCTGCATTACGGACGTATAAATAATCTCCAACGTCATCAACTTAGGACACCCAAGACGTTTAACGTAAGCATTGCACTGAATTGCTCGGAGAAGACAAAGGCGTACATCAACAAAATGTGATAAAAAAACCCCAGTGCAAACCATAACTTAGTGTATAATCACATCGTTGATAATGGTGAGGCTAGGAAGGGAAATCGTCTGCTGCGGACAGGTGATGGCACATCAATCAAGGCTACAGAAACGGAAAAGGCGCTGCGGACGCAATATGCCTTCATATTTCGGATGAGAGTTGCCATCAGGCGATCTTTCAACTTTATTGCCAAGCTACCATGGCTCAGTTGTTGCTCTTTTATGGCTGATGCTACATTGCAACAGCTGCAATCACTGCGTGAACACAACTCGATTAGATTCGGTACTAGTTATGCAAAACACTATGAGTAGCAGCAGAGGAAACGGTAAAGCCTCAGTCAGTGCCTAGATCAGGAAAAGGATCCCCGCCAAGTGGACGTATGGAATAATTAATCAGCTACGCAAAAAAGGAAGCAAAACGGGAACTTTAAACTACAGACCAGTATCATTTCTCTTAGGGCTGTCTAAGGTCGTCGAATCCAGGACTGCCGATGCATTTGTGATCTGTCCGGAAAACTGCAACATGGTTGCTCCTGAGCAGTATGACTTTCGTAGACAGTGATGGGACACCACCAACTTACTAATAACACGGAGTAGCTAGACCGAGTCAGTCGACGCTGTAGAGGACACTAATGTAATCAACCTGGATTCTTCGAAAGCGCTAGGTTGCTCAGCTAATCAGATTCTCCTTTCTAAGTTCCAGGATTACGGAATCGGTGCCCCTTTTTGAGCTGGATCGGCATTTTCACGCTCCAATCTGCCCATAATGGAGGTAGATCAATAGTTAACTAGCATCGGTATTTGCTCCAATGTAACCCAAATAAAGTGCACTATTGGGCAACCGGAAATCTACTACAGTTTAACGTCAGCTAATCTACAGTGCTGCACATACGACACCAAAGCATCTACTCCTGCAGGCTCGGAACACATGTACCGAAGCGCTATTCCATCGAACGTGATCTAAGTGTACTGGGGTTCAGGATAACTTAGGCTGTTACAAATGACCTGAAAAGGTATTAAAAGTTGGAAACGAGCACGTCGAGTTGTTGAGTTGGGCATACTGACACATTGATGACAATATTTTCCGTATAATATTCAGCGCTAATGTTCATCCGCACGTTGAATACGCAATTCACGTCTGTCAGGAAGGGTAAAAGCGCGATCATTCTTTGTTTTAAAGTAGCCGACATCGTATTTGCAAATAAAACACTGGCAGGCGTTAACTTTTGTAAAAGCATAAGCTGAAAAGCTTGGTTACATTCAGCTTACGTCATCGCCGATTACGAAGCCATCTGATAATGACCTACATGATCATGCATGATACGATTCATGTGTGCCGCTTTTAGCCGCAACTCAGTAGTAACACCTAGCTGTGAGGTCATTCAATGAAACTGGCAGAAGAGTACAGCCTCAACCAACGTTGTAGGAATTTCGTTTTCAATTCGTGTAAGTCACCTAAGGAAAGCAATTCCCGTATCGGTCGTTTCTGCTCCGACCATAACTCCATTTGCAGTGCGGTTGGCTGCTGTGCTCATCTTTCCATAGCTCGTCACTGTATTAGCGATCGTTTTCGATCGTGGGAATGACCTTGGGTTTCCTATCTGTCACTTACTCATACTGTGAATGTGTGAGGACAGCAGAAATAATGTCACAAACACATAGAAGAAGTTCCATTCTTACCATGAAAAGCCATATTTGTTTTCTTCAGCGTTTTCGATAACTCTACCAGACTACCCAAAAGGGTTTCTGAGGTAATGCTTCATAATCCGTTCATAGTTCATTGTTCGCACATAATATGTATATATGCACATAATGAGCTTTCGGTCAGCGTTGGCCTTAAATACGTAAATAACCGTTTGTAAGGGATAAATGAAAACATCGGGGTACGTTTTCAACGAAATTACGTAGAGCCAAATTTAGTTTGGTAAACACGTATGGCGCAGTGGTGATATTCGGTAAGAGCTAAATGTTATTTGGGCTTTGGGACTTCGGACCACGAAAGACACTGCGAATAGAGAATCAGAAGTGGTTGACGTCTCCGATATAGAAATCAAACAGATTAGCTCAGCATTAATCGAATTAGGATCAGGCCGTTTAGAGCATTACTCATGAGTAGGGGATTTTTGCTGTAATTAAGTGAGGTTCTTCTTCGCAGCCAGTTCCCAAATCAGATAGTCGTCCACATGCCCGGAAAAGCACTAGAATGCAGTTTCAGCCTGTTGGGCATCGTCAGTAGTGCGCATCCATCGGATCCATCAGGATTCGAATCATGACCACCAGCGGCTTGAACCGCCAGTCAGCAGCTTATGCCACTGGGCCACGGGGGACAGCTTCGGACCGTCATGATTTACAAGCTAACTGCGATATAGCGCGTCTTATCCTCTACTGCCATGCAAGTTACGAACACTGCAGAGGGCAGGGTTGGCCCCGAAAGACATGACGTCCACTAACAGTAGCTATGTACGACATAGCATTTAGAAACTGTCAGTGCAGGTATATTTCGATGTACTAATGAGTAGGGGATTTTTGATGTAATTGAGGTTCTTCTTCGCAGCCAGTTCCCAAATCAGATAGTCGTCCACATGCCCGAAAAACCACTAGACTGCAGTTTCAGCTCGTTGGGCATCGTCAGTAGCGCTCATCCATCGGATCCATCAGGACTCGAACCCATGACCACCAGCGGCGTGAACCGCCAGTCAGCAGCTTGTGCCACTGGACGACAGCTTCGGACCGTCATGATTTACAAGCTAACTGCGATATAGCGCGTCTTATCTTCCACTGCCATGCAAGTTACGAACGTTGCAGAGGACAAGGTTGGTGGACGTCCTGTCTTTCGGGGCCAACCCTGCCCTCTGCAACGTTCGTAACTTGCATGGCAGTGGAGAATAAGACGTTCTATATCGCAGTTAGCTTGTCAATCATGACGGTCCGAAGCTGTCCCCCGTGGCCCAGTGGCATAAGCTGCTGACTGGCGGTTCAAGCCGCTGGTGGTCATAGACTCGAATCCTGATGGATCCGATGGATGCGCACTACTGACGATGCCCAACGAGCTGAAACTGCAGTCTAGTGCTTTTCCGGGCATGTGGACGACTATCTGATTTGTTTAGGGAATTACTTGCATGTCAGGCACATAGCTGGCGATCTCCAGCTGAGCACTCGTTGTATGCTGTCTACCGTGCACTGTAATAACTCATCACGCAAAAATGTCCGTTTAGGCAACTACTTAACAGTGTGCAAAGACAGCTTCTGGTAAGCTCGGCTATGCAATTCTCTCGCTTCTATGCCCAACCGTGTGCCATTTGTTAATTAAAACCTTAGTTTCATTGTGCATAAGTGCCTGTATCACAGTTTAGGACAGGGACATCAACGGTTCTTCCAACGCCGAATTCCTCCGTTTTGACTTTCTGAATACGCATTGGGTCAATGACGCCCTCATCCTAGGAGCATGCAAAGCGTATGCAGACATTGGGTATACATGTTCAGAAACTACTCTCTTCATCTTGTGATCTTTCATAGCCATTCTCTCTGCATATTTGTGATGAGCTGAAGCCTTCAGTTGAAATCCGTTCATACAAAATGCGAATAATGCATAAATAAGGTAGCAGTTCATAATACTTTCCAAAACCTCACCGCCTGTTCCAACTTGGCGATTTCTGTGTGTTGCCTTAGACAAAGTCCGAGAAATTCCACTGGGTCCGCTGGCATCTTGAGAACAATCTCTGTGATGTACGTGCGAAGTACATCACCCAATGATGAAATCAGATATCGGGTCTCGGGACCGAACAGCACCTCCTCGGACATGATACCTGTGGAAAGTAGAATGGGAGATCACCACTGCAGAAAATTCCATCAGCATATTTTTAATAAATACGGTTCAGCTGATTTCCCATAAGGTTATGTTGAATAATATCCTGAAAATTAACGATACAACTTTACCAAGTTTAGAAAATCCTTCGTTTTCATTGTGCCGCCTGGATTCTGAGTATCCGTGTGCTTGTACTCAAATGCTAATAAAACTCCAAATTAGTGCTCCAAGTATCACCGCAAAATCGTGGCTTGCCTTTAGTAAGCTTGTGTCCGAGTGCTGCATGAGGATACTTCCTTAGTTATCAAACAACGTGATTAACAACCCAGTGGCCACACCTTCATTATTTGAAATACTCAAACTAAGTATCCACCGAGAAGTTGGAGAAATTTGCTTCCACGTGTTACGTGGGACATAAGTTTCGCGTTTATTTCCTTAACTTTACATTTGTGGGAGATATTTGTGAGTGAAATGGTTGTCGTATTTAACACATTATGTGACATTATCATCACAGTTAACGCAATTATAGGCTTGGTTACTTTGCAGCCGTTGTTTTGTAGAACTCAAAATTAAATTTGCACAGTCGTGACAGCATTGCGCAGAGACGAGTTATGTAATGTTAAAGACGTTAGTTGGAAAATACAGCGCTCAAGTTTATGTTCCGAGTCCTGGTTACTTGTTTATAGTGAGTTCAAATACGGTTGGAACTGGAAGTGTGCTATGGTGCTTGACAAAAATAGTATCGAACATGTCCATGTTTTGGGCATAACGAAGACTTATTTGAGGGTAGGTAACAAATTGAATGGGTATCGCATGCTGCATTTTAAACATGGCTAGTATTCCTAACTAGGAACTAAACTGATTGCTAAGTCGTTTGAGGATTACATTCCCCGCAGTTCAGTGTTGCTAAATCTTGCATAGGTGCGGAATGTAGGAGAGATTCTGCTGCCATAGGCAAAAGGCAATCCTACTACATTGGACATCCCTCATGGACTGAATATTTGTCAGATTTGCGTAAGCTTTTCACTCCTTCTTATGTAAATCGAAGATGAAACTTGGAAAGTACGGTAAGGCACAGTACAAACGTGATGTACATCATCTAAACTCCGGGATAAATTAGATAAAGTGAAAACTACCCCGATTTTGCTCCCGCTATCCTACCTGAAATTACCACTTGGATCACATTAGCAGTTACCACTTTAGGAAACAAAATGCATTAAAGTAACATTATTAACGATCATTTGATATCATTAGTTGAACTGATCGGAGGATCAATAAAGACCACATTAAACCGAAATATACATCTAGGTCCCAACTACCAGCAAGCACGTCCTGTGTGGGTTGTAGTGTCATGATCTTCAGTGTGTGCGACAGGCGTCTACATGGACAAAAATAATTTTACAACTGCATGCAATATGAATGGACTCGGATGTTTATGCCTCAGATTGCAAAAGAATGCAAGCTTAACCTCATGTCCAATTCTGCTGAAGTTTCCAGACAATTCTATTGCAGTACAATTTGTACGCAGTAAACGAACAATTGTTCCTCCAACTAAATTCAAAAATATTGTAACCAGCGACAATTGAACCTTCCTACAATATGGACGCCCGAAAGCATAGCCATTCGACCCCGTGAACTCCTCATAATTTCTCTAGTCGTACAAGCGAAGCTGCAGGTTCCAGTGCTGTAGATCTTTACAGATTAGGAGCATCCGGTATGCCAAATGATGCATCACAATGTTCACTAGAGTTCTAATCTTTCTGAACATTATTATTAGTGTATCCCAATTCATCAACTATGATCAAGCTGAAAATGTATCTAGTACTGAGATGGCCGCAGAGCGTATTGTGGCGAGAACGAGGCGGTAGGGATTCAAACTCTTAAGTGTCAACGAACAGCAGGTTCACAAGTCAGCACGCACGCGTGCCCTTGTAGGGGACATTTCCAGCCCATTACGCAGTACACACTGTCCGTTCGCTAGCCATCACATTCATGTCACGATGCAGCCAAGCCACGAGTTCCTTCTTTAACAAGCTGTCCTCGTATCGTTGCATCCACTCGCCGTACCTTGTCCGGGCTGGATTCGTTCTAATCCTCATGATTTGCTTAATGGAAGTTGCTTCGCTCTCCTTGGGGCTATTTCTAGAAGCGTGACCAAAGGCGTATCACTCCGTAAGAAAATCATATATCCTTGAATACAGTTGCGGCATCTCGGAAGGATCCATCACACTTACCGGTGCCTTGAACTCAACCACCTACGACTCAGTTTGTGATTGCAGAATTAGGTATTCTAACCCACAATCTCTTTGAAACTGTCCTATGCCGATTTACAAAGGCTAAACAAGTATATGGCTATATCACTAGAGCTTTCTCCTTGCCTGTAAGACGGTATAGCACTGGTAATAGGGTGCTCCTCAACATGGACTTACCTTAGTCGTTGTCGTCATCTCCGAGTGGATCCCCCTCGGTTACGACGAATAAAAGAACCATCTCCTTCTTCCGTTCAACATTATAAATAAGCAAGGTTTTACACACAGAACTGCCCTCAAATTGTGGAAGACCACCACCTACCCCAAGCATACTAGGGACTACGTAATAAACCCACAATACGCGAGTCGTCGAATCTAGTCTGTGAAACAAAATACCACTACAATTACGAGTGTTTGTAAAGGTCGCCATATTCCGAACAACTCTGGAAATATTTCTCACTATACTGAATATGTTAAGGATATTTAGCTCAGACTACTGTCCAGTTACGCAAACGGACTCTGCACTAAGCTTACGCCTAACGTATTATTCTGCCATCACTACTCAAAAATTGTAGCATGTGGCTTTGCTACCTACTGTCCCATTGTCAGTGACTCTTGCATTTCAGTACGCAGTTATTTGGAAATCAGTGGCACGGACAATCGTACTAACTGGATAAGCTGCAAGTGATCGGGTTGCTGAGCTATATACCAGTAATTCACCAATACTGGAGATATAAAAATTCATAACGAACGTTTTACCATAATGTTCTTTGCTGTGAAAGTGCATTGTCACTTTCTGTCATTTTGAGCATTCCGTTACATCGAGATCCTTTTGGTGAACAAAAACGCGTAATCCGCTGCATGTTTGGTGTTTTTCATATACATGGCACAATGACCGCCAGATGCTTAAATGGCGGTAAAGCAGTCACTTCCCACTCGAAAGCTGTGCAATGTACTTTGCTCGATGGATATTGCGTGCTCTAACATCAATACAGTTCGGTACGAGAAAACTTCGCTGATCCACGTGCTCGGTTATTAGCTTTCTTATTGACACGTGTCGGGCCGTACTGATGGGTAAGGGCCTCGCGACCGGTCTACCATTGCTCAATCCACCTGGCGTTCCCATTCAGTCTGGGATCCACACGGCCTAAACAACTCTAACCTTTCTCTTGTGCACATCCACAAGTTGTCCTAGTACTCCTAAAGAAAAATGTAACCGAAAACGTAACCGCCTGCTTTCTTCGAAAACAGACTCACTCCTCGTAAATAATGTTTGCTTATTGTTAACACTTCCGAAGCTAAGATGGAAACGCTGACCGAGGGGATCATGGATGACCAAGTTTTGCTTAAGCGGATGGTTTCGTTACTGTTCGATGAGCGGAAACAGAGGATTTGTGTCATCTCCACCATTCTCCTTGTCATCTAAGCAGGATTCCGGGTTCGTCCGCTCGAAATCGGTTGTTACGATGGTATGTCGCCGTGTCTTCAGGCGAACCTCGTAGCTTAGGGAGGGACATACCAAGGATTGCGGTATTTCTGTCCGGATGAATAAGATGAAGCACGCCATTGATGAGCTGCGGTCTCACCGAGATAATGGCAGGGATAATCTTCATATCGTGGATTTTCGCATGGTTCAGAATACTCCGAAAGCTCGAAGGCGGTTTAGCATTGTCACATTCGGGTTCTAGGGCTAACGAGTGCATTGCGTGTGATGCCCGCCAATATGCGCAGCCCTCGAAATACACTGGATGAGACTAATCTTTTTCCTTTTCAGTATTATCATGACCTGGTGGCTTTTAATGAGACTTTGGTGTCCCCGGATACTTTTTACTCTGAGGTACACCTTCCTGGTTATCACTTTCTAGAGCTGATCATCTTGGCGTCGGGCGTGGAGGCAGCTTTATGCTCTACTGTTTGTAGGTCTTACTATAGATTATATTTGTGACACTGTTTTGGGTTCGGAACTACTTTGGGATCATATCCACGATGTAAACAATTCAGGCATGGTTGGTGTTGAATACAGACCCCCATGGTTGCGGATCTCGTTTCCTGGATTGGATAAAAACGCAGGGTCAATACAAGGATTGCTTGATAATGAGAGAATTCAATGCCCAGATGCCAAATGCGAACTGCTTCCCTGTTATCTCGCCCCAGAGTCTTTCTATACTGTGTTGCTCGAAGTGTCTCCGAAACGAGTTTAACTCAATAGGTCTCGGAAACTATGCGCATAATACTGGGCCAGTTACCGCGAATCGTCCTACCTGTGCTCACGCATCAACCCTCTGGTGTCTCGGAGTTAGTGATTCCCCTGTCACTTGAGTCGGGTGAACAGAGTGTTATTTTCTTTCTATGGACACATTGGCCCATCATTCAAAACCAGGGAGTAACTTGCGGAAACTTATTGTGCGCTGATGTACACCGCATACAAATGGCCGCAAGGAATATGGAATGGAGCACTCCTCAAAAGTAAATATTGATACTTCTTGAAAAATCCTATCCTCCAAAATGATGTATCTCGTATACGAAATCGCAACATGACTGGAGCCTAGGTGGTGCGATGGTTCGTGCGCCCCAACGATCAAAGGTGCTGTGCAGGTTGGTGCTTTTGCAACCTCAGACGCGCTCATACCCAATTGGTCAATGCCTGGATGTCAGACGAACTAAGTCTCCAAGTTGAAGGTTGGA